TGGATCGAGGGCTGTTTTTCAATAGATCGCAGCGACGGAGCTGCTCTGCTACGCATGAAACCCTGACCCAGAATCAGGTCGTCTGCAAGTCATTTAGCACCGCACCCCCGTGAAACGTGCAGCGCGCGGTCAGTGGGACGCGCCTGTCCTCGAGGCGCGCCCCGTACCCGGTCACGAACGTTTCTTCGCACCGGCCCGGAGGCCGGCTACCCTTAATCATCTGAGGAGTCGCAGCGCTCCGGTTAGGGTTAGGGTTTTTTTTTCCAGCATTTGGCCCAGTGAGTGCAGCTGATTGCGGGCTGGCTCCAGCTGCTCCGTTTTCTTCTGGAAGAGCTGATTGCTAATTGGTTCCAGCTGTGGCCGGTCAGCTTAGGTTCTCAGCGAGCTGGGCTGATTGCTGATTGCCTGCACCTGTTGCCAGCCAGCTTCTGCCTCTATATATATCGGTTCTTACTGCCAGCAGAATCACTCTGAGGACAGGCTGCGAGAAGGTAAGTGTGCTCCGAAACTTGACCTGGGTCTTTTGTCTGGTTCTTACTGATTTGTTTCTCCTGTTTTAATGTGTTTGTGCAGATGCCGAGTGCGGCAGCTGCCCGTTGTCCGCTCTGCGTCGGACGGTTTAAAGCCATGTCGAGCCACCTCAGGCGGGCACACGGTGTGAAGAACCTCCACGAAAGGAAGCTGCTTTCCAACTTAGCCTTCGGGAGAGTGAACGTCAGGGACCACGCCTGCCCCGTCGACAGCTGCGCCTACAGGGAGGGACGGCTGGACAAGCACATCCTGCGGGGCCACGTGGAGCTGACCGAGGAGGACAGGCGGGCTCGGCTGCGTCTGGTGAGGCGAAAATGCACCCGCGACATGATTAGGCAGCTCGGGTTAACACAAGCCAGCCCGCCGTTGGTCTCGGACCTCCACGTGGAGGAGCCCGGCGGGGAAAGGCAGGCCGCCATTTTGGTGCCGCCCGGCGGGGAAAGGCAGGCAGCCATTTTGGTGCCGCCCGGCGGGGAAAGGCAGGCCGCTTTGCCGGTGCCGCCCGGCCTCCCGGTGCCGCCCGGCGGGGAAAGGCAGGCCGCCCCGCCGGAGCCGCCCGCCCTGCCGGTGCCGCCCGGCGGGGAAAGGCAGGCAGCCTTGCCGGTGCCGCCCGCCCTCCCGGTGCCGCCCGGCGGGGAAAGGCAGGCCGCCCTCTCCAGCGTGGAAGGCGAGGACCAGGCAGACGGGGACGACCCATGGGAGGACCAGGCGGACGGGGGCGCCCCGGGGGAGGACCAGGCAGACGGGGCGCCCCGGGGGAGGACCAGGCAGACGGGGGCGCCCCGGGGGAGGACCGGGCAGTCGGGGGCGACCCGGGCATGACCACACCCCGGGACGGACCGCTCCCTTCCCAGCAGCTGCTTCCCTTGCCAGGACCGGTGGCACGCTTCCTGCGGGGCTTCAGGACGTTTCACATGGGCGGGCGGCCGAGCAACAAACACTACCAGAACGCGGTGTCCAAAGCCAACAGGGTCCACGCCTTCCTGGCTTACATGTCCGAGGGGGCCCGGCGAAAGGAGAACTGGCTGTTCCTGGACGACGTCGAGCGCATTCAGCGGTGGCCCGCGGAGCTTGCCAAAGACCACAAGGCGGTCACCACGGTCAACACGTACCTGAAAAACGTCCACCAGTTCGTGCAGTACTTCATGGAAACCCCGCCGGAGCCCTGCGGTCTGACGAGGAGCCAGCAGGCTGGTGTGGCCCGAGCCCTGAAGAGCTGCCTCCGGGACCTGGCCAGGGAAGTGGTCGTGCACCAGATCTCGGTGAAGGAAGCCAAAGTCTCCAGGGCCATAATGCAGCAACACCNGGGTGGGTCACTGGAACATTTTTACTAATTATTGTTTGTTCTGCCAGGTCAGAGAGCACAAGACCAACCGAGCCTTCGGGATGGCCCAGATCTACCTGACCCGGGACGAGTTTGTCTGGCTGGAGCGGTGGATGCGTCTCCGAGCTCGACTGGAGCCCAACGACAACCGTGTCTTCACCACAGGGACCCCGAGCAACGGGAAGACCCTCTTGCAGTTCCTCCGGGTGGTGTGGGAAGAAATGGGTTTGCCTGGAAGCCCGACMTTCACTGACATCAGGACATCTGTTGCCACTCACGCCAGGAACTGCCACAATCCGGATGYGCGCCACAAACTGGCACGTTTCATGTGCCACGACACCTCCACAGCTGACCGGTTCTATGCCCTGCACCTCTCGCAAGACCAGTCCAGAAACATGCGGGAGCTTTTCGAAGAAGCCTGCAGGCCCCACGCGTCTGAGCCACCAGCATCTGAATAAAATAAAGTCACTTAAATCTTGGTTCTGTTTAAAGTGTTTCATTTCATGTAAAAATATGTGTAATTTGTATGTTTTAAGCTTATTGCTCTGCGGGGAAACATCATAGAGACTCCATTCCACTTTTAGTTTGTAGCTGAGACCCAGGCCTGTCGACTGATGTGAGACATGCGGGGGTCCAATGCTCCGCGGCCCGGCTAGGTTGCCAAAAACACCCGCTGTCGGGGTCTGGATGGGATTAAATCTCGGTTTTTGCGCATGGATCTCTGCTTGGTTTTCAGCCTATATCTCAGCGGGTAAAAATCATAGAGACTCCATTCAACTTTTAGTTTGTAGCTGAGATCCAGGCCTGTCCACAGATGTGAGACATGCGGGGTTCCAACGCTCCGCGGTACGGCTAGGCCGCCAACAACACCCGGTCTTGGGCATGGAACTAAGGTTTTTGCGGGGTTTTCCGCCTATATCTCCGCGGGGGGAAATCATAGAGACTCCATTCTACTTTTAGTTTGTAGCTGAGATCCAGGCCTGTCCACTGATGTGAGACATGCGGGGGTCCATAGCTCCGCGGCCCGGCTAGGCCGCCAACAACACCCGCTGTTGGGGTCTGGATGTGATTAAATCTCGGTTTTTGCGCATGGATCTCTGCTTGGTTTTCAGCCCATATCTCCGCTAGGGGATAATCATAGAGACTCTATTCTACTTTTGAATTAAAGCTGAGACCCAGCCCTTTAAAACGGTGCCCGCTATGCCAGGATCGGGCACTGCCAGGCCCGGCTAGACTGCTAACAAAACCCGGTCTGGATCTCTGGTTTTCGCACTAAGTCCACAGTTTTTGGTTTTTGCACTAAGTCCAAACCTCCAC